TTTTTTGGAAAAATAGAAATGTCAGTTATTTTCCTTACACAGTGGAACGTTTCCTTTCTTCGTGTCTCTCCCGCCTTCACTCTCAGTTGAATCAGAGAAATCTCATCCCTCCTTTTGGCGTCGTCGTCGTCTTAACTTTGCTCCGTCACACCCAGTCTCCTCCGAAGATCGGCACTCACTGTCGCTGGGGAAGATGAATGATGGAAGATTCCGGTTCCCCCGTCTTCCCTGGTATTCTCTTAAACCTCTACGTTTCTTAGATCCTCTTTATGGAACCGCATTGAATCTCTAGATTAGCAACGGAATTTCACGAAAACGTTATTCTTATATTCTAGAGTAATTGTTCGTATCGCATCTGTTCATTGTGTAGTGGAATTCATGGCTATTTATGTGGATTGCTACTATTTCTGTCTCTTTCTTTTCTAATTCCTATTATTTTCTCGGATAACAAACAGAATCAGAGGAGAAACAGCATACTGTTTTGGTTTCTAATATTCCTGTAATTACTTGTTTGGATTACGTTGTCAAAAATAGAAAACTGGAAATTGTTGGATGAATTTCAAAAATTCACGATTCAGTCAGTAACCTGATCGCTAGGTTTCTAATAAATTAGTTGGCTAATGTGGCTAGAGGAATCCTAGAGCATGTCGGCCCAATGCTTACGCTACACTTCAATTTTGCGTTAAATAATTTTCTTGATGATTAATGATTAAATATAGATTGATCTTTGATGTCATTGTGCGAGGTGAAAGGAAGATTGAACAATTATATTTGAAGCATCTCTAAGCCAAAAGTTTTTTTTAAAAAAAAATATATTTCGTTTTTTATCAACTTTGATGTGAATACTTCTTTCAGATCTTCAACTGAAAGAAATGGAACTGAAGCAGGTGCAATCTGATCTCCAAGCATTAAGAAAATTATATGGATTCCTTCAAAGTAGTAGGGATGTTGGGCAAAATGCCAGAAATGAAATTGTAAGTACACTTTTGAACCCACTTCTTCCGCTGTTGTCTCTGTACTTATGATGGATAAACTTATGCTGATGATAAAGAGAGAAAAATTGACTTTTAGTTGTCATTTTGGAATTCTGTAACTGTATCAGTTAGTTCTAAACCCGCATTTTTGTCTAATATCCTTCGTCCCATCTTCTTTTGACTTAATGTTATGTCATCTGCCAATTACTATTATATTAACAGTTCTGACCGTAAAATTAGTATGAACATCTTTATTTTGCCAGTTATAGCCTTCCAAATTTTTTGTTGGCATATTGCAACTTATTCTCTTTCTTGAAGAGTCTGTGGTCATTGGTCAATTTGGCAGTCTAGTTTTTCACAAACATGCTGATATACTATTCGCTTGCTGACTGGACTGGAATATCTGTCCTAGCTTTAAATGTCAATTTAGTTGTCTAGTGGAATATCTGGATTTTGTTACGTATCCTCTCCTTAGATGTCATTTCAGTGAAAAACAATTTCAACTTAATCTATTTTGCTATACGATTTCTTGAGCTTTTGAATTTTTATCGTGATATGGATCTATTTTGAAGTTATGTAAATTATCATCTACACTGTTCATTTATCATTTTGAAATCCCCTTGATTTTTTCTAAGTTTGGGACAACAGCAATATACTTAGAAATTGGTTTATCAATTTAGAAACATTTGCTTGCCTAGTTGGTTTTCTATCGTCTCATGTATTCTCTCATGCATTTGGTAAGCAGTTGGATGAAGAAGCATGGCTACTGCTTAAGAATCTGCTGGATGGTGCTACAGAGAAGGTTCTGAAGACATATTCCATGGTATATTGTGTATTTTCTGCATTTCTATTCAATGAATTCTCTTCTTCTTGAACTTTTGCCAATTTGCACCCACAAATTATAGAAAGTAATTCATCTGCAGTTAGCCTTGTTTTATTACAATTGTGATATACCATCAGTTGGTTAAAATGAGTATTACAGAATACATGAAATTTTGTATAAGGACACAACCTTTCAAAATTTTACTAATTAATGATATGACCTTTTTTCCTTACTAATCAAGGCTAGCACCTTTCAAAAGTTTCTACTCAAGGATATGATTGTGCACTCCACTTATTCCTTCTTTAGTAAAATCACAAAGTTTATATCCTCGGTTAGAAACTTTTGAAAGGTGGTAACCTTGATTAGTGAGTAAAAAAAAGGTCACATCCTTAATTAGAAAAGTTTTGAAAGGTTGTGTCTTTATTTGTATGAAATTTCCAGAAGTCATTATGATCTTGTTAATCAGTTCAAGCAAAGTAGTAGTTCCTGCTTGATAAATGACTGTATTCTGACTGTGTTACCAACCTATTGCTGTCACAGGTAATAGCAGCAGTAGGACGTAGTGTCTGTAACACCACCTTCTCTTCTAAATCAGAACAAGAAAGAGCTTTTCCAGTGTTGCAGCCTGTCTCACCTAATACATTGAATGCTGCTCCTGCTCTCAATCAGAACTCCTTCAAAGACTCAGATTGCCATTCATTGAGTTCACAAAAGGATAACTACTCCCTTAATAAACTGACAACTCAGGCTATTGTTTCAGAACTACCGACAGTGAGCATTTCCTCAGTTGAGCCTAAAACTAGAAAGAAAATATGCCGGGGTTGCAAGCAAATCAACAAGAAGCAGCAGAATTCTACAAACATTTCTAGCAAAGATGGCAGTCATCATCATCAGCAACAAGACGTTGGTGGTCCTTTTAATCAGGTTTGTATGAATACAAGGAACTTATTGGATGGAAAAGAGAGAAGAGTGCAGTTAGGTGAAAATGATGAAAATATAAGGCAGAGGAAAGTTTGTAGACACCATGGTATTCCCAGCACTCTCAATTCAGTTTCTTGCTCCTCTAGGCCTCCAGCTTCTATGGTTTTTGGATCTGGGACTGGAAATAGTCTAGTTGATGAGGTTGAGAAGAAAGAGATGGCATTAAGCAGCTTCTGCAAAGATGTGGAAAATGCAATAAAACAGATTGAACCCCACATTCCAGCTTTACAAATAGGTTCTGAGCTAGTAGCTGATGTTGAAAGTAGTCCAATGCCTCATACTTTGCAAAAAGTGCCTAGTTCACTGAGTCATATGATACAAACTCATAACTGGGAGATCTCAACTGAATGTGGCATAGGCAGAGGTGCATTATTAAATCAACAGACTCAAAGATTTCGAAAGAATGAGAACTTGAATAGCTTGCATCAGCTTTCAGGCCAAGATCAAAATGATTCATGCCCAGAGAGATGGATTCCACAGAAGCAGAATAGTCAGTTCTGCAAGCATTTTCTAACAAGTGATGCTAGACAGAATCAAGAGAGGATAGAGAATTTGAGTCAAGTAGGAAGTTGGAGATATCAAACACAAACTGAAACTAGTCCTTATGTTCATGGATTGAGAGTCCCAGTCAGTCATGATTTTGTATCCAAGAAGCCTCCCTTGCCTTCGAAAATGCCCAATTCAAGCCATAATTATGAGAACAAATTAGTCGAGAAGGTAGTGAAATTGAGATCAACCTCTCCATCTCCATCTCCATCTCCATCTCCATCTGTTGGATCTAAGGCTTCAGTTAGGCTTAATCACAAGAAAGGACCACCACATCAGACACTGCTTGATTACAAACCTATTAAAGAAGTGGATGGATCCCACAAGTTTACCCGGAATAAGATTGTTCCACATCTGCAAGAATCAGAGGTCTCCTCCAGCTGGACAAGTCAGCAATCTAGCCCTGGCAGCAGTGACAGTGAGACTTATTCCTTGCCAAGTTCAAAGTTCTCAAGGAAGGGCAGCAGTGACAGTGAGGATTATTCCTTGCCAAGTCCAAAATCCTCAAGGAAGGGCAGCAGTGACAGTGAGGCTTATTCCTTGCCAAGTCCAAAGTCATCAAAGAAGTTTGCAGACATGGCCCTTGAAAGCAGCTGGGGGGACAGCAACAACTCTTACAGTGATGAAATGGATGTCAGTCAGAGTCCATCCATTAGATTGGGTCCCACAAGATCTTACAAAGCAGTCCACCTGGCAAAATCTGAGAAACCTATTGGACGGCTGAGAAGATTTAAGAATAAGTTAGGACTCATCTTTCACCACCACCATCATCATCACCACCACCATCACCACCATGATGTAGAGGGTGATGGCGGCATGTGGAAGCACTTGCGCAACATCTTTCATGGAAAAAGTGAGGCTGGGGTTCATAAGAACAAAGCGGCTGATAAATTGAGAAAATCGGTTGTGGTGCGCAAGCAGCAGATAGGCCATTTCCATGCACTAGTGGAAGGTTTGATGCAGCACATCAGGCATTCAAAGAAATCAAAGCCTTCTGGAAACGGCATTGGACGGTTGAAAAAGAGTCGTGACAAGAAGGCAGTGAAGAAATTACAGTGGTGGCGTATGTTCCGACAACATCCTGGAGCGAAGCCGCTGAATAGAGGGCGGATGAAAAGAGGCTTGATGAATAAAAAACGACAGCTTACAGCAGCCAAGTTGAGTTAGCAAAAAATTTAGAATTTAAGCATCCCTTGTCAAGTTTGGAAGCAAACCCTATATATCATATACTTCGTTAGGGTGAATGACATAATATATCTCATGGACAAATGGAGAAAGAATGTTAGAACTTTGGAACTTGTGAGTCCTACTTGCTACAACAATTTATTTTTGGTGATATTGAAATAAAAAAGTTGAGGACCACAAGCACCGGGCCTTTTTGACATGATGATTATAAATCATGTTGTAGGTGCACCCACTTCTCGAATTCCTCACTTGTAAAGCTGTAACCGTTCACAAAAAAGAAAAAGTTGAGGACCATAAAAGTAACAAAACAAAGTTTAAGGATCAGATTCTACCTTTCAAAAAGTTTGGGGAACCAAGAAAGTAATTTACCAAACATGAAGAAGAACCAAACAGTATTGCTATGCAATGTAGGCGATGACGGTTTAGCTTTAAAGTATAGAACGCTGAATCAACTCCCTTCTTCTCAGCCGTTTCGTCGTCGCCCTGTCCGCCACATCAGCCTTTGCTTCCTTCAGCCCCGCTGCGCCGTCGTCCAGATCCACCTGGACATTTGCTGTGTCACTGTTATTGGATTGATGTAATTTTAGAATTTCGTAGGGGAATAAGTATACAGTATGGGTAGGCAAGGCAGAGCTTGCGTGGTTGTTCTGGGAGACATCGGCCGGAGTCCTCGCATGCAGTATCACGCCCTATCCCTCGCCCGTCAGGTATTTCTTTCTCTAACGTAGCATATTCAAACGCTGGTTAATTCTTCCAGTTATTGCTTCCATTGACGATCTCGATCCAATTCTTCAAATTATTATTATTATTATTATTTTTTGTTTTGAGATTCTGAGTTTTTTCGTTTTTTCCAATGATGTTGCAGGCATCTTTAGAGGTGGACATTGTCGCATATGGAGGTATATCTTTGTGTAAGATGAACTAGTTAGATTACTTGCTTAATTTTTTATGAGCAGAATGCTTCCATGTTTAGCTTGTTAGCATTTTCAGTATAAATATATTGTCTGCTGTAGTAAGATTTTTCAATTGGTTTTTTCTGATGCTAAGTTCAAAGAATATCCTAAAACCCAATCACATAATTAAGTTTGCTAATTGAGTTGCAAATTTTAATGTTTGGGTAGGCTCTGAACCACATGCTGCAGTCCAAGAGAATAGATCTATTCATATTCATAAGATGGTATTGACTCTGAGAAATCTGGTTGCTATTAGATATTTGATGCTGTCAACCATATGAGTTTAATTCCTTCCTTCACTTTTCCAGAAGCAATGGCCAAAACGCCTTCAGAACTTGCCAAAGATACTTTATCCCTTAACACTTCTGCTGAAGCCAATCTTTCAGTTTGTTATGCTACTTTGGTTTCTTTGCATTAGAGTTCCTCGTCCTGATGTATTTGTAGTACAGGTGAGCTCTTAAGGTTTCATTAGAGAGATACCATTCATCTTAATGGCCAATTTTCTCTTGTGCATATGTATGCATGTATTTGTGACTGTGACATTACTTGAAACAAGTTTTATTTTTACTATTTTTAATTTGTGCATAATGTTTGTCAGCTTTCCCTTAAATATGATACCCCTTTTCTAAAGTTGAACAAAATTTACTTGTTTTTAATATGTTTCATATCCTATGTCTATTGGATTTATTGCAAAATTCAAATTGGAAATTTGAATTATACCAACCACGTGTCCTAGGAAAGAGCATTTAGTGTTATGTTTGTTGCCCTTTGAAGCTTTTGTGTGTTACCAAACTGCAGGGGCAGACTTGGGAACAACTATATTGGATGATACTGCCTGCTAAAGAAAAGATTTTGGAGAAACAGTGAAATTTTTATAATTATAGGTTTTAACATATACAACTTAGTTGATTCTAATGCCACCTATTTTTCTTCTCAGTACAGCTTTCTAGTTTTTTTCTTTCTTTTTAAGCTAAACAAAAAATGATTAAGGAATATTTTCTTTTGTACCTGTTGTGATTTTTCATCTCTTTTTCCTCCTTTTTTAACTTCTCACAAATGTGATAAGCCATTAATGGATTGTTTGCGTCTGTAGAACCCTCCTTCTGTTCCAACCTTAGTGGCTGCAAAATGGGCAAGCTCGTTGAGGCGATCTGCTCTGGTCATTGATTGGCATAATTTTGGATATACCTTACTGGGCCTGTCCCTGGGAAGAAGTAGTCGTTTTGTTTCTGTATATCATTGGTAGAAAACGGTTGCCTTCTAATTTCATTCACATGAAGCTGAACTTTTTGTTTTTTTTTTTTTTTTGAATGATAGATGCGCTTTCCTGATAACTTTTAGGTTTGAGAAGCATTATGGGCAAATGGCAAATGGTTCGCTGTGTGTAACAAGGGCAATGGAACATGAATTAGCACAAAATTGGGGAATTAAGTAAGATGGTTAGCTCATGTTTCGTGTATTCTTTTGTTATGCTGTTTGAAATTCTACCATATTTTATCTAATGATGAGGTCTTTATGCCCTTATCAAATTAATAGGGCCACAGTCTTATATGATCAACCACCTGAGTTTTTCCATCCAACTTCACTTGATGAGAAGCATAAGGTGAAATATATTTGAGTCTGGGTTATTTTCATATCCAAAAATATTTTGGTCAAAAACTTACATCTGAAACATGGTTCCTTAGTTGTTTTGTAGATTGAATGAAAATGTGTGTCATCCTCTTGGTGTTCGAGATTGTTTAAGCACTGGTAAGTCTTCATGTAATAAGTTGTCAATTACCATTGAGTTAAGTAGCACTGTGCTGTTTCCCAATATGCATCCTTAATGCAGGAAGTATGGGAATTTGGGGTGAAACACTATTTACTTCTCACGTCGGCCGTGACACCTTGTTGAAGAAGAACAGACCAGCACTTATTGTCAGCAGTACTAGCTGGTAAGCTCCTGTTTTTATGGGGGTCCTACATATATGACTTCTTGTCATCCTATGTCTTCTTATCATATCAACTAGTTGCCCTAATCTTGTTAGTTGGGTGCAGCTTTTGCTTGGTAATGTATTGTTCTTTACCTTCAATGTAATAACTAAATTTTTCCTTTTGATTGGAAACCACAGGACTTGACTCATAATTAATTAATGTCAATGGAGTATGGAATGCCATAGTGGACTGATGTCTTCCTATTGATTGTTTATGCTTGTTCTCTAATTTGTTCAGCTAACTTTGAATCTGCTGAGGAATTAGGGTTAAAGCCTTTTGAGCCTATCAAAGCAACTCATTCTCTGGAAGAATCTTTTTCCAGGACACCAGATGAAGATTTTGGGATTCTCTTGGAAGCAGCAGTTATGTATGATAGGCGTGTTGCTGCAATACTAAATGAGGATGATTCCATTGATGAAGGGGATCTTTGGAAGGAGATCTCTGATGGAAAGCAGCAGTTATACCCAAGGTTGTTGTTTATCATTACAGGTAACCATCCTGTTTGTCCTAGAAGCATCAGCTTTACATTTGACAATGAACACCTTAGATTTGTAATCTCCAACTGTTAATTTAGGTAAAGGACCTGAAAAGGAAAAATATGAAGAGAAGATAAAACGGCTAAACCTCAAACGTGTTGCATTCCGTACAATGTGGCTCTCAGCTGAGGATTACCCATTGCTTCTTGGTAGGTTAATAGTCATCAGTTTTCCTCTGCCTTCTTCATTCTTGCTGCTGGTTTAATCGGCTAATTCTTCCTTTATTTACAGGATCAGCAGACTTGGGTGTTTGTCTGCATACTTCTTCATCTGGATTAGACCTCCCTATGAAGGTGCACTATTTTTGTTTTTCCCTTGTAAACTTAGTGGTAAAAGGGGAAAAAAAAATTGCAGCAATATGAGCAATCTCACTTTTCTGCATACCTGCCAATTGTCTCTAAAAGTTGTTTGTATCTGCTGGTTAGGTCGTGGATATGTTTGGTTGTGGACTACCTGTTTGTGCTGTTTCCTATTCATGGTAAAATCTGTATCTTATAAGTATTGCATATAGTTGAATACTTAATTCTGCCATTTAATACTTAATTTTCTTTACTAATGCTGCTGCTGCTTTGACTTCTCTGAAGCATTCAAGAACTTGTTAAAGTTGAGAAAAATGGACTACTCTTTTCATCTTCATCTGAGCTTGCCGATGAATTACTGGTAAGTTTTTGAACAATGAAAAAAGGTACTTGTTTGTAATTATCAATAATGTACAATCCTTTGTACAATTCACATATTTATAACTATTTTTTAAAAGAAATTTTGTCTATATAATGGAATACTCAAGCTGTCTGCAAATTTCTGTTTGCTAATGCAGGATATTGAATATATTAACATATAATAACACTGAATAATGAAATGTTAGGATAATGACCACTCATGCTTCTTAAAACTGCTTAGATATGAGGAGTTGTTTGGATGTTATGGTTACTTTATTGATTGGCGATTTAAATTAAAATTTGTTTTGCTTAATAGATGTTGATTATTCTGTTCCCTTCCTAATATGAGGAAGATATGAAGGATGTTGTTTCTTTAGATAAAGCACTCCTCTTGTGAGAAAGCTTGTGGAGTCAGGAGTGTGATTCCCAATCTTCATTAATCGGTCGAGGCTATAAGGGCTTGGTATTAAAGGGAAAGGAACAGTAGTTCTCAGCTGGTTTTTGGCATGTGTTCACGGTTCTTGGGGCATCTGAACCACCTATCTCTTCCAACTTAGCAATGGCCGTGAGAATGCTTTTGGCACCAATGGACATAGACAACAAGAAGCTTAAACAAGATGAGGAAGTTTAAATCTGAGGAAAAAAAAGATCAAATATTCAATTGGTGGGCCTTTCCAGGACACTGTTGTCTAAATTAGTTATAAGCAAGTTTCTTTTTTTTTTTTTTCCTCTGTTTGCTTTTGCTTTTATATTCGTTATCTCTGTGCGGTCGCTTACCTTGTCATATTAAACTGTGGGGGACATGAGTGATAGCAGTGAGCAGGTCTTCATTTTGATTATGTTGTTTATTGGATCCTTCTCTCTGTCCAAGTTGGCATTCATTACCACAGGGTTTTGCTTAGAGATAAAAGCACTTTTAACCATAATTTCTGGCATCAAGTTTAGCATGATGTGCATGTTGTGTTTTTTAGTTTCTTTCTGTACTGAGTGCCTTGTGAAGTTGTGATATCCTTTTCACATATTTATTCTTAGTTTCCTACATTACTTCACAGATGCTCTTCAAGGGATTTCCAGATGAATGTGGTGCTCTTAAGTCTCTAAGAAATGGTGCATTGGAAATGAGTTCCTCAGCTAGGTGGGATACCGAGTGGGAAGAGCATGCTAAGCCATTAATATCTAAGGCAAGTTATCCATTTATATTTTTATGAATGTGTTATTTTCACCACATTGTCATATAATAGTACGGAAACATTGATTTTTTCAGTTTGAGTTTCGTTGTTGCTTGTGATTGTGTTTAGAGTCAGACCACTGCTAAATTGATTCAGTTGATGAGATTTATAACCATCTGATATTATCCTCTTATTCTGAAATTTTCTCATTTCTCTTCATCTGTATTTATAGCCATTTCACCTCCTGTTATTCAGTTGTAGGCATGGAGGCTATGTACTTACTTCATGACAGGTTTTCTTTATCCTTTCTAATTACAGGTTATCTCTCGGAACTTGGAATAAAGTCTCGGGGTTTCCCCTTGTCTCGGTTGTAACATTAGTAGTTCTTGCCACTTAATGACTTATTATACTTGCCTTCCTTAGCATTTTATTGCCGACTCCATGCAACATATATATACCATATATGGAAAAGGTATCTTGGATAGGAAAATTTGCTAGTCTTTGGTTATTTTCTTTTCTTTTCTTTTCCTTTTTTTCTTTGAATAATGCTAGTCATACAGTTGCGATCTCATTTGAATTTTAAGTAATTTATATTTTATTTAGAGAACAAAGTTTTACCTTGATTTGATTAAACATAATATTTTTGCATTTCGATTTTTCTCAAATCAAATAAAATCATAACTCAATCATCAAAGGGTTGAAAAACTTTAAAAGAGAATAAAAATGATAATGGGAACTCAATTGAGAATGATAAGAAAAATGAAGAGATATATCCTTGTAATAAAGACTATTTTGACAGGATTTTTAGATTCTACAATTTAGATTTTAGACTCTTTGGATTCGTGGCAACAACTTCACATTAGCGCCTTTAATGCGGTCGGAAAATTAATTTTCTTAAAGGTATTATTAGTGCCTTTAATGTGGTCGAAGAAAATTAGCCTTGAAACGCATAAAAGTATGCCGGTTGACCTCCAAACTGTGCAGAAAAAGGAAAAGGGAAAAAAAGATATACCGCCAAGGCGGTACGCGAGTTTCGTAAACAAGACTTCGTTTCTGAAATCCCTAAATTCTCCCTTTCCTCGCCGCCCGCAGCCCCGCGCCGCTGCTCCCCCGCTCTGCAATATTTCGTCCTTACGATGTCATTCTCCGAGCGGAGGTTTCCGCAACTACCAACATGAGAGTTTCTAAGTATTAGCCCCCACGTCTCTATGGGTACGTCAAAAACACCTCAACCTCATTCCAAATTTTCTTTTTAATTCCTCATTTCAGGTCATCGCTCTCTCAATTTCTGTATTTAGTTTTGAAATTTGACGATCGGTAAATTTCGTTTTTTGGGTATCT